ATCTATCTATCTATCTATCTATCTATCTATCTATCTATCTATCTATCTATTATCCATTCATCCATTCTTTGACAAAAGAGAATGAGACCCACTTGCTTTATTCCATCAGGTCTGTCATTTTTGCTACCTTTTATCAGTTTTATTGTAATGTCTTTGATTGTTGTGAACCACCCAGAGTCACTGAGAGTCAGGTAGATACCAGTTTAATATTTTTTTTATTATGACTGGATTTGGCATTTTTATCTACCTATCAAGTTTTTCCCAAGCATCTGAGATAGGCACCTGGGATAAGCAAATGTTGTTGATGGTGCAAAATATATTGTTGTGGGATATAAGCTGTCCAAGTAAAGCTGCCTTTTGCAATTGACTGAGGATGATTTTGTCAATGCCGATGGTGTTCAAGTGGTGCTCCAGATATTTTGGGATTGTACCTAAGGTGTCTTATCACTATTGGTACTAGCTTTGCATTCTTTTGCACGGTCATTCGGCCTCTTTTTGCAAGTCTTTGTATTTTTTGATTTTCTCCTATGCTTTCTCTTCTATTATGCTGCCTCCAGGTACTGCCACATTCGTTATACAGTCTTTCTTTTTGCTCATTATTATCGAAAGTCGTTAAGTCTGGGGTGTGCTTGTCTGTTTGAATTCTAAGTTCCAAAACCCTTTAGCTTCTTCATTTTTTACTTGTCTGTTTTGTGATCCCACCAGTTCTTGCTTGCAGGCAAATGATATTTCTTGCAGATATTCCAATTCACTATTGTTGCTACTTTGTCATGCCGTTGTTTGTAGCAGTGGTGGGATTAATTTTTTTTTTTTACTCCCGGTTCTGTGGGTGTGGCTTGGTGGGCATGGCAGGGGAAGGATACTGTAAAATCTCCAGTCAGAAGTGGTTCTACCGGTTCTCCAGAACTGGCCAGAACTTGCTGAATACCACTTCTGGTTTTTAGCCAGATCTGTGTGATCTTCCACAGCTGCTTCACTCAATGATCACAATCCCATTTCTCCAAATTGTTGTTGTGGTTAGCCAGCAGCAGGTGCAGATGGCTGAGGAGAACGATGACTCAGATGAGGGGCCAAGACCATCAGGGAGTGGACTGCTGCCTTCAGAGATTGTGGGGGCTGGCAGCAGTGACGAGAAGGTTCCCGAGGAGCCTGTGCCAAGTGCACATGCACGAAGGATTGCTTGGAGGAAAGAACAATTACGGCAGCACAGGTGACTCAGGAGTAAGGCTGCAAGGTAATGGCCCCTCCCTCAAGAGGATAAAAGCCAGGTTTGGAAAAGCGTTCTTTGCAGACAGCAAAGAAGCTCTGAAACTCAACTGGTGGACATCTTAGTTCATGTTTGGAGAATTCTGAAAATTGGTTCTTATCTCTGGGTTTGGCAACTTGGCAAGGCTCTTTCTTGTTGGAGCTAATTGTTAGAAAGCAGCCTTTTATCTGTAAAGGAACAGAATTATGATTAAACCTTAAAGGTGGTGGCTGCTGCCTTTGTCTGTGTTTGCTCTCTGGGAACTCGGTTGGGTCAGAACAATTGTGGTTGTTAAACAACTACACAGGCAGAGTACTGGGGAGGGGGCCCAAGCCTCCCAGGAATGGTGGGATAGGAGAGGGCTCTGGCCTCTTACCACACACTGGAGGCCTGGGCCTTCTCCCCATCCTACCAGGGAGAACTATCATGGAAACCATGTCATTCACTCGTGTCTTCCATTCTGGAGGGGAAATGCCTTTTTTCTGAAAAGCTCAGAACACTTTTTCCTCTCAGTGGTTAGGGCTGTGAATGGTCCTCAAAAGACCAGTCCAAAGTCAAGGACTAGCTATATTTAATTTCTCCTTTTGTATCATTATTGTAGATTGGCTTTTAATTGATTTTTATTATTCTTCACTGCCCAAAGTGATCTGCTTAAGATGATCAGCCACACAGATCGAATAAAAAGATAATAAAATGGTGAGGAGGGCCATTCTAGGGTACTCCAGAACTCTTCTAGGTTACCTCATTCAGGAGGAGAAACTGATTATTAAGATGGCTGCATTAATAATACACTGGATCTGTTAAAAAGTTACAGGTAACTTTAAGGTGTATGGACATCAGCTCTTAGAATTCTCCAGCCAGCATGTTGGGGGATTCTGGGAGTAAAATCTACATAACTTAAAGTCGTTGAAATTAAACATACACTTTGTTAGAGCTTTATAAATGACACTGAATTTATGAATCTGAATTAGGGCTGATCTGGGCTCCTGACCTGAAAAGCATTTAGCTTTTTAGAATGGCTTCTTGCATAAGGATTTCTCCTCTGTTGTTAGTATTCCTGAAGAGGAATTTGATCCTGAATACTTTTTTTTAAAGTGCCTAAACTGAGTGAAAAAAAACCTTCCCTGCTCTTTTTCAAGCATGAGAGACTTTGGTTCCTGCTGCGATTCCAAATCAGCCTCCCTGACTTGATTGTTTCTGAATTTCCTGGAGGATGTTAGGTTATCACATATACCAAAATGCTTCTTCTCTATTTGGGAAGTGCCTTGCATTAAAAACACTTGAGAGTAAAGAAACATTTCAACCGCAAGGGTTGTTTCCCCTCATTCCCCCACCAGTTTCCTACCACCTGTGAATTTGTTAAATAGGAAAGAGCTTGGCTTGGAGCTAGTAGGACTCTCATTACTTGTAATTAGCTTAATTACATCATAAATAGCCCATCAAGGGTAAGAAACAAAGAAACAAATAGGCAATTCTGCTTTCTATAACACGACCCATATGGAACTTTGATTGAACCAATAACAACAAATGAGGATAACGGAGAAAGGGGGGAACCCCTCAGTATGGTCCTTTCTCTCTGAAAGTCCTATCTTTGCTTTATGCTGAAATTGCCAGAGACTGGGGGTGCTGTTCTAGAGGCTGGAGGGTCTGCGTCAAATAAAATGCAATGTTCCATAGCGAGCTACAGCAGCTTCTGTTCATTGTGTTCATTTTAACTGGGTGGGATCTGATATCCCAGCCTGAAAAGCAAAGCAGTGTTTTCCAAGCAGCAACAAAATCCTGCATTATTAATAAGTGCAGGAAGGAGCTGATCTATAGATTTCCAGGTGTGTGCCAGCCTGGAGTAAGGATGCCCTTTAAAATAGTTTTTTTTTAAAAAACCACCCACATTATTTTGGCTTCTTGCATTTTCTTTTTAACTTATATGGCTCTCTTTTTAGAGCACCGATTTTTAGAGCACTATTGCAAAGTCCAATGTCTATGGAGATTCTCAGTCATCCAGGTCATGGTTATCCCAAAGGTCCTTTCTTTCAAAAGGCAACTGGACTATTTTTCTTTTGCTTGAAGACGTTTTGATGAACTAAAGAAGTTTCTTGGATGAGAAGTGAAATGTTTTCAAGAAAAAAATGAGAAAGTCCATATGCCTTTTCAAAGAAAGCACCTTTGCGATATTACAAAGTCAGTGTTCAGATTAGAGCTCCTTCAATTCTGGATAAGACATCTGGAGTACCCTTGATTGGAGAAGGATGCATTTACACATTGTCCTTGATGAGCAAATAATAACAAAAAGAAAACAAGATCTCCAAACCTGACTTGTTGTTTTTTTTGCTTTGAACTTTTTTTTTCATATTTGCCCTTGTTTAGGAGCCTATTTACACTAAAGCAACAAGCATACTCATTCTTTTTATGTTGCTATTCCATATGAGAAATGATAGCAGGCATAGGTGCCTGCAGGTTATGTAGATGGTGACTCTTTGAGTGAGAAACAGAGAGGTCAAATTTAGACTGGAAGATGCACTCAAAATATCTTTCTCCCAGTTGCTCTTGGCTATGGGTTGTGAGGGAGGCAAGGATTGTAGGAACAGAATGATGGATTCTGGTCTTAGGATTCAGGTCCTCTACTGCACAGGTCTTAAGAGAAGAAGAACCGATAGGGTAAAACTGGCAAGAAAAGCACAGACAGAAGGAGTAGGGATATTTTCTTTATTTTTAGGGCTGTTTTTCTCAATTGTGTAATTTTATTTTTGTTCTGCACAATGTCTGCCATTTGCTAATTAAAAATAGTTATGTCTTAGATGCAGATCTTGGCCTTCTATGACTTGCTTTATCTGTCTTATTTCTCAAGATCTCACTTTGTTGTTTATATGTTACTTTAGAATTGAATTATGTATTCCAGAATTACCTAGACCCAGTAATTCTGATTAAGCTAGAGTAATTAGTCCAAAATCAGGAAGGGAAGGGAAGGGAAGGGAAGGAAGGAAGGAAGGAAGGAAGGAATCTATCTTACTACTCCAGAATAAGTGGTTGCAGCTTAACCTCTTGCCCAGATGGAATGATTTCACCTGGGGAAACAGGTATAGTCAGACTTCCCAGAATGCAGATAGAGGATGGTAGGGTAGAAAGCTGAGAAAGGACCTTTCTGTTTTTTGTTACATGTTTGTGACAAATAAAGACCATGCAGAGTTTTAAAAACACCAGCAACTGCAACTTACTGTGCCCCCCCCACAGCAGGTTTTTTTTAGTTTTGATGTTTCCTCCCATACACTCATTGGGATTTCCCACAGATTTAAAGGCAGCAGGCTCTGCAACCATGAACTATGAACTGACCTTTTGACCGCAAGTGGCGATTATCAGTCTCTGGATAGCCTTTATTTATGGAAGCCTCAAGGAAATGCTTTGGCTGCAGTTTGATCCACCACCAACTCCTCTGCATTCTACTATAAATGTTTCTGTCATTCTGAATCCGCTATAGTACTTAACAGGGCTGTAATAATGACAAGTGAATTAAAAATATTTATTAGGCTGAAAAAGAAAAGGCAGTTTCTCTGCCAAACTGATTCCATCTGCCACAATGCCTTGCTCTAGGTGCTGTTTCTTTTTCATGTCCTACCAGGACTAGAAACTCTGAAATCATTTTTTTAAAGGACAATCACTAAATGATTACAGACGGGGGTGGGATTCAAAATTTTTAACAACTGGTTCTGTGGGCATGGCTTAGTTAGTTGGCATGGCTTGGTGATCATGTGACTGGGCGGACGTGGCTTGGTCATGTTATTGGCTGGGCATGGCCAACTCAATTTCACTCACATAGAGGCATGCATCTCCTCGCCTGGCCTCTCATGACTGTGGGGATCCTTGGTAAAAGTATTTCCTACAGTATGTCAGCTTATTTGTCCTTTGATTTTCAAAGCAGTTACTTTACCATCTAATGTTATATCAAAAAAAAATTGTGGGAAGAGTGTTTCCAGCACTCTTCATTTCAGTCAGGTCCAGCATTGTTTTGTTTGGAGCTCTAAGGCTTGATTTAGAAAGAGAATCACAGAATACCTTAGAAGTAATTTTACCAACCCCACTCAATGCAGATTCCATTAGATTATCTCCAGGGGTGGGATTCAAATTTTTTAACAACCGGTTCTGGGGGTGTGGCTTAGTTGGTGGGCGTGGCTTGGTGGTCATGTGACTGGCTGGGTGTGGCCAACTCAACATCACTCACATCAAGGCACACATCTCCTCCCCTGGCCTCTCATGATTGTGGGGATGCCGCAACAGTCATAAGTGTGAAAAATGGTCATAAGTCACTTTTTTCAGTGCCATTGTAACTTTGAATGGTCACTCCACACAAGCAAAGTACCAGCAAAGGAGGAAAAAAAACCCTCCAGAAACGTTCCTGAGACAGGAAGTCTAGTCCTGCCAAGAATGTAATAAGGGTCAACGGAGAGGCAGTTTCTGTAAGCAACACCAGAATGTTTCCTTCCTGCCTTCCTTACAGGATTAGGCCAGTAATTTCTTCTAACAACCGGTTCTTCGAACTGCTTAGAATGTTAACAACTGGTTCTAGCGAATAGGTGCGAACTGTAGAATCCCACCCGATTAAAGATAAGTAATTTTCTCTGACTCCTATGGCAATCTGACACTCATTGAAATCTGGTAGCCGTAATCTTCTTTTTTCCATTCACATCATCCTTGTCAAGAAAAGCAGAAGAAACAGAATTCTTTCCCCCAGTATCAGGTGGATTGTTTATCATCCAAAAATGCACATGAACCTTGCATTGGTATTGATGAATATAAATGTACAGAAGGGGGGATTTGCAGGCTCAGCCACAGGTCCCTGTCGAATAAGTTGCACAAAGAGAGATCTTGACTGTGGAAGATTTTACCTACATGTTATGCAAATAGGTGTATCCTTCCCAGCCTGTGAATTGACCTCTATTTCTCAAGGGTATGTATGGATCATGCATAGGCAATCTACACACATAAGTTATATGAATAGATGGGAGTTAAGGAACAAGTCTGGGCAAAGCCTGTTTCCCCATCTTGCATAGGCTCATTTCTATATACACTGCATATCTGCACATGCTGAACTATGTATGTGTCTATTCTGCATGGCAAATCCTTAAGCATTTTCTCCACATTAAATAATGTATATATGCTATATTTAGCATCTGAAAATACTTTAAACACAATGGCTATTAGGTTTGAAATGGAGACATAGAAATAACTCTAACATCTGGAAAAAGGGCAGTTCTTCATGCTCCTCAGCCTTTACCATCCATGGCAGAAACAAAACATTAGTATTAGCAAAACATCTTTGCATATGTTTAAGAAACCAACTACATATATTACATTGTGTATAGTTGTTCCCTTATTAGATGCTTATGTGTTTGTTGTAATTGTTCCAAACTGTGCTGTATACTGCCAAGAGTTGTGAGAGATATGGGTGGCCTATACATGTAATAAGTGAATAAATTACCTTACAAATGTTACATATTACATGGAGCAAAACAAAACAAGGGCAGGATAAAATTTACTCCTTAATTCCTGCAGTTGAAGTTGCTTTTTATATAAATGCATATGTAAATACATGCTTACATAGCTCATCTGGAGCTCCCTTGTATATATTGTTCTGTAAATGTCTCTTATTCTATAATGTGTAATGTATTTATTGTATTCCATCCACAATTTCTGAATTGGAAACATTTGCAAAAATTGTAAAAGGAATAAAAATCAAGTGAGCTATTAAGCAAACATGGACTACCACGTTACTCTTTCCACCACTGCAAACGAAGTTGAAATTTTAGCTTAGATTCCACTTTTGTAGAAAAGCAAGCTGACCAAAGCAAATACCACTATGCTGTTTTATACTTTATTGAATGATCTGCTGTATGTTTATTATCTTTTCCCTGTTTAAGTTATAGAGAGCTCGGAACCTATCTGAGCAGTATTTCTCAACCTGGACAATTTTAAGTTGTATGGATTCCCAGATTGCTGGTTGGGAATTCTGAAGTTGAAACCCACAAGTCTTAAAAGTTGCCAAAATTGCCAAGAAAGTAACTTTGTTTTTCTGCAATTTCCATTACCTCCCTGAGCATCCCTTTCATACTTTCAATGTCTTAACAGTCCAACTGTTCTCCTGTCTTCTTTTTGCTTCAAATGTATTTAAAATTCTTTTTGCTTTCCTTAATGCTTTTTGACATAACGCTCCTCCTCCTTTTTGCATTCTTTATGATTGCTTTACACTTTCTCCCAGAGTTTGTGTGTTCCTTTTTGTTCTTCTTGTTGGGACAGATTTTCCATTTCCTGAAGGAAGCTTTTTTAACCTTTACAGCTTCCTGAATGTTACTAGAGACCTCTTCCTGGAGTTAGTTGAACCTTTATTACATGGTGGAATATATTCCAGTTGAACCTCATTGTAGTTTTAAATAAACCTATAACACAGATTGGGCCTTTTTGTCTTTTCATTCCCTTTCACCAGTTCCCTCATTTTTGAGAAGTCTATGACTATCCCTTTGCAGTCAAATTTGACTGGATTGAATCCTTGTGGGTTCCCATTTCCATGAATGCTAGATCCAACAGTTTGGCTAGTTTATGATTGTGTGAACCATAAAAGGACTAAAGTTATTTGATAACCAAGTTAAATATGTTGTGTGTACAATATACGTGCTTTAACTCTTTAAGTCATGCTGTGGTCCCTAACTAGATTTCTTTTTTACATGCCCCGAAAAAAGTTATTCACATAAATTGACCACTTTTTAGAAATGTAAACCAAAGACATGGGGTCAGGACCATTTGAACTGTGGACACTGTGGGAGGTAAAGAATTAAAGACATCTTACATCTATGTTAGAATCTCAGTCTGGTTCTAATCCTCTGCATGTCCTTTTTCCAATAAAATATGGTGAGGAATAAATATTCTAAATAATTCAACCCATACAGACAGTTAGATTAAGAATGAGGGGTTTGCATCTGTGGTTTTGTTTGGTTTGTGTTTTGTAGCATCTCTAAATGGCCATTGCAAGTTTTCAAGTGTCACCACTGCCTCTGCAGAGACTCACTGGATAGTATCTGTTTGACCTTCTGATCACAGGTCAACCTCTGTATTTTCTTTCAGAGTCCAAAGAAGAGTTCCCACCAAATAACAGATGAAGCAGCAATTCTGTGTCTGGACTGAATCACTCCCGGACTTTAGAGGAGGAATGTAATATAATCCAATATGCCTCCATATCATCAGTAGTCCTTTATCATCATCAGACACAGAGAAATTTAACTGATTGATTTAAAAGATTTGTATGGCTACCCTTATTATATAAAATAATTGTGGATAGCTAACAGCAATCAAACAAATAACAAAAATCTGAAAATTACTTGACTCAGCTGAGGTTGCCCTCTCTTTGCCATGCCGATTTCCTGCATTTACTTTCTCTTCTTCTCTTTTTGAGAACTAGAACTATTTATTTTTGTTTATTTATTTATTTATTTTGTCAAGCGATTATAAGATAACAGGTATAAGTATAAACATAGTTATGAATACATGAAATGGATACATATAAGAAAAATAACTATGTATATCCTGTGAGAATATATGAGTATAGGAGCAGAGAATGACATCTACCTGGAGAAGGCAAATTGTCCTGAAGGCTATTCCTCAATAAACCAAGGAGATGCCAAGCCACATTGCTAACCTCAAATGTATTTTTCCCCAGAAGCAATATTCATGTTGCCAGGTGGAAAAAATTAGTTGGCTGTCATTATCAGCCAGAGCTCAGGTTGATGGTTGGATGCCTCTATTCTAGCATGGAGACCAATAAAAGAAGTTCTTCCCAGTTCCATAATCTGTTAAAAACTCACCTCCTTGTTCTGGCACCTTGAAAAGCCAGAAAAAGCATTTCCTCCTCTGTTTTACCTTCGCCTCCTATTTGTTTGTTATCTACAAAACTGGTTATATAAATTTGAGGATGGTTTCCATCTCTAGTTAGATTTGTATACCTCAACCTTCCCCCAC